CAGGTAAGGTGGTTGGGGCCGATACGATGGCTAGATCCTCGGTATCGGTGAGGAAGTTAAAAGCGATCTCCGCTAAATTTAGCGAGGCCGTTTTTGGGTTAGAAGGAATTGACCTGTTGTCCGCGAAGAGGCTGTTGGAGACTTCCTCGCAGTACGAGGAGCTCCTAATGACGGCTATTGCCGAGAATGCCCATCTTAACGGCAAGGTTAATGTCCTCAGTCGGGGAAGAAATGGGGTCTTTGCTCAGCCAGCTGTGGTTCCACTGTTGGGAGCCCCACCGAAGTCGACACCGGAGGCACTGGTGCCCTCGATGCCTGCATCGGTGGCTCCAAAACCGGTGGAGACATATTCGCTGATTGTACAGGGAAAGTCGGGTCAGTCCTCTAAAGAGGTCGTGAAGAAGGTGGTGGATGAGGTGGGGCCCTCATTAGGTGTGAGGGTGCATGAAATTAAGCCTCTAAAGGGAGGCGGTGCGATTATTCGTACACCTTCTGTCGCGGAGCGGGAGAGGATTGCGAAGAATACTCGCTTCTCTGGGGTGGAGCTCGATGTCAACATCAGGAATCAAGGAACCAGGGTTGTGGTTCAGTCGGTTCACACCGAGATAACCCCCGATGAATTCATGGGGGAGTTGTACCGGTTGAACCTTCAGGAGTTCAGCCCTGGATGCCTTGGGAAGGACGTAAGGATGATCAGCCGTCCTTAGAAGAAGACTCCGGATGGAGTAACAAATGTGGTTTGGAGGGTACGGACAAGTTAATGTCCGCTCTCCTTGATGCAGGCCGTTGATACATCAAGTGGTTTTCGTTCCGAGTACGGCCGGCCTTGTTTGCGCCCGCTTGCTTCCGGTGCATGTGCTTCGATCACCGTGTGGCTAAATGTAAGGCGAAAAAGAAGGTCTGTTTGAGGTGCGGGCAGGAAGGGCATCGTATGGCGAATTGCGATAATGCAATGCATTGTTGCAACTGCGCCTTCAGGGGAAAGCCGGCTGATCATCTTATGATGACAGGCGCTTGCCCGATTTATGGTGCAATTGTTGCCCGTGCGCTTGCCAGACAGTAAGATGGATAAGGTCCTGAAACTTAATTGTCAGGGGGCTTATTCAGTGATGTGTGATGTAGGCGCATTGATGGTAGAGGAGGACTGCAGCATAGCTCTGCTCCAGGAACCTTATGCCACGCAGGGTGTGGTATGAGGTCTCCCTGGTGGCTTCAGGGTTTTCACCGACCGTGGGGCCAATGCTGCAGTTGTGGTGAATAACCCGCTCTTAGAGTGCGTGTTGGTAGACTCGTCTGAGCTAGGGGTAGTTGTTAGTGTAGAGGGTAGGTTCGGGAGGCTGCTCGTCAACAGCATCTATTGTAGGTTTGGTGAGTCATTGGAACCCCGTCTACCTTGACACGGTGCTACTTTTGGCAAGCAGCAGACCTGTTGTCATCGGTCTGGACGCGAACGCCTCCTCATCCGCATGATTCAGCAAGACATCCCGCGATATGTCGGGATATCGAAGCTGGCAGCGGGGGGAGTCGTTAGCAGAATGGGTGGCAGTAAACGAGGTGGACATTCTTAATATCCCGAGCGAGTGGTTTACATTCGACGGTCCAATGGGTGCTAGCGACATAGATGTTACGTTGACGAATGCGGCAGGCAGTAGGGACTTCAGTTTCGACTGGAGAGTTAGGGGTGGATGGGGTATAAGTGACCACAATCTTATTGAGATTGTGATCTTGCCCCATATGCCTACTGGCAGGGATTCTGTGTGTCATGCGAGAAGGTGGCGTACCAGTGGGGTTGACTGGGACCAATACGGTTTCCTAGCCAAAGTGGCTATGCGGGAAGTGCCTCTGAGCGATTTTGAGGAGATGACCTCGGATGAGCAAATTGCTTGTTTTAACGAAATCGTTTGGAAGGTAAATGATCGCACGCTGCGTAAATGGGTGCCGCCTAATCTTAGGCGGGTGAAGTGGTGGTCGCGAGCGCTCAATGACAAGATGAAGGCTGTCCGTCGATCGAGACGTTTGTTTCAAAGATGTAGGCATAGCGAGGGGGATAATCTGTCCCAGCTTACGAGTCAATATAGGAGTGAGATGAGGGAATACAAAGATCTGCTAGTCAGGACGAAAGAGGAGGACTGCCGGAGATTTGTAGGGGAAAATAGGGACGATCCTTGGGGACAGGTCTACAAGATCTGTCGGGGTCGTCTGAGTAGGAAATCACCTCTCTTCGCGTTGGTGACACTATGTTATCATCGTGGGGGGAGTGTGCAGGGGCTCTGTTAGGAACGTTCTTTCCTAGGACGGAGGTGCAGGTTCCTCAAGCACAAGAGGTGCATGTCCCCCCACTAGATGCTGGGGAGTTGGGTTATGCGTTTGGCCTGGTTAGGTCTAGAAAGTCACCGGGTATTTACTGTTTGAACGGAGAGATGTGCAAATGCTTGTGGAAGTTCATTCCGGAATATTTGGAGGCTCTCTATGATAAATGCATTTGGGAGGGTTATTTTCCACGTGAGTGGAAAATTTCCAGGGTTGTTCCCCTCCTGAAGTCGCCTGATAAGATCAGGAGTGATCCTGCATCTTATCGGGGTATCAACCTCCTTCCAGTACTCGGAAAAGTGCTGGAACTGATCATGGTTGAGCGGCTTCAGGAGTTAACGCGGGGTAGCATGTCGGATAGACAGTATGGCTTCAGGAAAGGACGTAGTGTAGAGGATGCTTGCCTGAATGTTCAGAGTGTAGTACGGGGGAGTGTCAACAAGTATGTCCTTGGCATATTTGTTGACCTTAAGGCGGCTTTTGACTACCTACGTTGGGACAGAGTCATTGAGCGTTTGGAACAGCTGGGGTGTGCAGAGATGGCTCTCTGGCGGAGTTATTTCTCCGATCGCAGAGCTACCATGGTTGGTGTTGCGGGGACTGTTGAGGTCGATGTGGCTCGTGGCTGTCCGCAGGGGTCCATCAGTGGTCCATTTATTTGGAACCTTATGATGGATTCCCTGCTGTGGGAGCTCGAGCCAGTTTGTGGCTTTATTGCGTACGCCGATGACCTTCTCGTCTTGGCGGAAGTAAATTCCAGGTCAGATATAGAAAGGCAGGGAGAACGGCTGCTTGAGATCGGCGGTAGGTGGGGGCAAGGTATGGGGGTCGACACTTCGGTTGGCAAGACGGTAACAATGTTACTCAAGGGGAAGCTATCGTTGGGACGTACACCGGTGGTTCGCGTCAACGGGGTCAGTCTTAGATATGTGACGCAAGTCAGGTATTTGGGGCTGACCATCGGGGAACGCATGAGCTTTGCTCCCCACCTAGTGTGCCTTAAGGAGCGCCTTGTTGGTGTTGTGGGAAAGGTACGTCGCATCCTGAGATGTGAATGGGGCCTCGGCCGGCGTGCTGTTCGTGCCACCTATTGGGGCCTATTCGTGGCTTGTGCCACTTTTGGGTCCGCTATTTGGTACGAAACAGTTATGAAGGTAGCAGGTCGCCAGAAGGTCCTATCCTGTCAGACGGTATTGTTGTGGGTTGTCTTCCGGTGTGTCGCACTTTCTCTATGGATGCGCTTCAGATATTGATGGGAATGCCTCCTCTTGACCTGGTGGTTATAGCGAGAGCTGTGACCTTCAGGATGAGAAGAGGCATGAACATGTTGCCGTTGACTGGGTGGGTTTCGGACGGTGACTTGGAGAGAGGCTATCTTGAGTTCAAACAGTTGTTGGATGACAGAGTGCATGGTATGTGGTAGTACCGTTGGGATGGTAGTTCCAATGGTCGTGTTACATACCGCTTCATTCCGAGTGTAGGGTTTATGGGAGAGAATCCGGACTTCGGGCATTGCTTGAGTTTGGATTTTCTACTAACGGGGCATGGTCCTCTTAATACTTTTTTGCACAAGCACACTCCGAGGGGTGTGAGTGTGGAGCGGAGCTTGAGGATGTCGAGCACGTGCTTTGCGAATGCCCGAGATACTCGGACTTGAGGAATCTTGACAGCATGGGGGTAAAATGGACGGATGGACGGTACGACTTCGGTACTCCACACATTTGACGGTAACGAACTTGAGGAATTTCGCACGTGAAGTTTTTAGAAGGCGAAGACGAGTCGAGTAGATAGGTGGTGTTGGTGATGGCTACCAGTCCAGAGTAGTATGGTAACTCAACTGGGAGTGGCTTCGGCCACGAGGTCTGACCGGAGACTTAATTCTGGTACCACGGGGAGCTGTTGCCCTTGGAGCTTGCTACAATCTGCTCGTGCGGCTTGGCCCTACGGGGAGTATCGTGGTGGCTGTGGTTTAAACCCGAATGCGGGGAGAGTCGTGTTGGCTCGATGGGGAGTTGCATTGCAACCGGGTGCCGGACCCATAGCACGGCAGAGGTTTAGATAGGCCTCGAACCCTACCAAGGTGGTTAGTGTGTCCATTCCGCCCTGCCAAATGGTACCGAGATGCTTGCATTTCGGGGCGCTGATCTTCGCATTAAATTGATCCATTGAGCTTTAGGGGCTCCGTGGAGCTTGGACTGCATTAGATTGCGGAAGGTACCCACGTTAAACCTAAAACTACATCCCTATGCATACAACGTGTGCGAGTGAATAAGATATTAACTATAAAACAGTTCAAAAATTATAAGATGTTGTTTCATTCTAAGATTTTTTCAAAGCGAATTCTCACATGTACTATTTATGTATTAGTGACAATCGAAAATTTGTGTGAATGTGTTCTAGTTTTGGTCATTCGAGTTTTGCAGGGGTCATTTTTTATTTTTCAAGTCATTCAGGGTTGTTCTGGAAACCAAGACAGAACTGCTTTTCTGTCAGATTTCCAAATCGATTCTGATTTAAAATGGTGTCGCAGAATCTGATTGGATTTCGCTTTTTCGAAGATAAACAAAACCCATGTTCGAATCAGCTGTTCAGTTGAGTTGGATGAAAAATTTGTTTTTAACTTGTGTAAGTAAAAGGAAATTGGTATTATTTGCTGTTTAAATACATCAATATTTGATAAGTGGTAAAAAATGAGTTACGCTGTGGCCGTGTATTTGTTAATGAGAATAAACCGTGCTGAAAAAGTGAAACCCAAAATTTTGAGAGATCATAGTAATCCGCTGGAGATACCGGAACAACTGTAAGCTAATTCTCTGTCGCAAGCGTAATTTTTGTAAAAGTGCACATATTTATGCATATATTAGTCTTATTTTAGATTCATTAGCCAGTTCCGTTTAAATAAAGATGCATTTGGTATGGTTATGGGCGTTGTAGAACCGCACTTGCTTAGGAGTTCTCTGTCTCCCATGCTTCAGCTTGCAACAACGCTACGTTTTCTAGCGGAAGGCTCATACCAGACAGCAGTAGGAAATGGTTTCAACGTAAGCTTAGGGAGAAGTACGGTGTCGAAAGTGCTAGCCCATGTTTTAAATATTCTTGAGCGCACAATTTGCCAGGAATGGATACAAATGGCAATGGATGAACGTGAAAAGCATCAATGTATGCAGCATTTGTATGAAAAGTACAAAATTCCAGGTATTACTGGCTGCATTGACGGCACTCATGTTAAAATAATAAAGCCTCATCTTTATGAACATTTGTACTACAATAGAAAAGGATATTTCAGCATGAATACAATGATAGTAAGTATAATGAGATACCTAATTTAACCCATTTGTTTTAAGTCACTCAATTTAAGATTTGTGATCATAATATGCAGATACGGGCGGATGATTCCCGGTATGCTGGGGCAAGCCACGACTCCTTTGTTTGGAATATTAGCAGTGCCCGACAATACATTCAAAACCAGTATCGAACAGGCGACCGCACCTATCGGTTTTTAGGAGACTGTGGATATGGCATTGAACCATTTTTGCTGACGCCATATCGATATCCACAGTTCAACTCGCAGCAGTACAAATTTAATCTGGCACATTCAGCGGCTCGTAATATTGTAGAACGTACCATAGGAGTGTTGAAAAATCGATTTCGTTGCCTACTTGGAACTTTGCACTACAGCCCAGAAAAAGTAGTCAAAGTAATAAACGTGTGCTGTGCACTTCACAATATTTGTAGACGTTATAAAATTGTGCTATTTAAAATTAATTTCGTTATTTCGTATTCACTAATTTGTTCACACCTTGTTATTAAAAATCCACTTTTCTCAAGAAATTGAACGAAATGAGTTTAAGCCAAGCACTAAACTCATACACTTAGTTTTGAGTAAATTTGTTTATATGTACATACATAAGGACGGTTTATATTCAATACCCTATATTATAGTTTTTAGAAAATTTAGTTTCTGATATAAAAATTCACCTTAGGGCCGGTTGTTCAATGTCTGGTTATCACCAGTACAGAATTGTCGACGATTTCGACGTCATGCACATAACATGTGATCGATAAAGCAGTTTTTGTATCTAACCGGAGCTTCTACCTCCGATTTGTGTTAATCAGACATTGAACAAGCGGCCCTTAGACTTAACTGTCATCGATTATATCAAGCATATCCTTATTTATTGCTTCCTATTAAAATTTACTACTGGATTTTAAAGTTTGTAGTATCAGAGCTGACATTCAAGCCACAGATGTTTTTGAATATAAGAAAGAAGTTTTTGTGACAATTACAGATGTAAGCCCACAATATATGTTTAAATAGAATGTTATTCTATTACATCGCTTGAGAAAAGTGTGTTTTATATAACAAACTGGAAACGAATGAGTGAATATGATAAAAAAAAAGTAAGTGCGCCTGGGCCACACTGTAGAAGTGAAACTTACGTTACTTATATATCTATACATACATACATCTGCTTTTGCTTAGGGTTATATTTTTTCACTTTTTTTCTATCAATGTAATCTCTACCTCTACCACTGTTCGTTTTAATAACATTCATGTTATTCTGTTTTTCCTTTGTCTTCATTTTTAGCATTATACTCTATCGATAACAAAATCGATTATAACGTGCATCAAAATACCGATACCAAAATCGATGACAAATTCCATAAAAATTTAAATAGCAACATCGATAATACCATTGGTAGCTAAATCGATTAGAAAATCGATAAAAATATCTATAAAAAAATCGATAAATAACAAGATCGATAAATATCGATAAAAAAATCGATAAATATCGATAACAAAATCGATTTATATCGATAACAAAATCGATAAATATCGATAACAAATTCGATAAATATCGATAACAAAATCGATAGATATCGATAACAAAATCGATAAATATCGATAACAAAATCGATAAATATCAATAAAAGAATCGATAAATATCGATAACAAAATCGTATAAATATCGATATTAAAATCGATAAATATCGATAACAAAATCGGATAAATATCGATAACAAAATCGATAAATATCGCTTACAAAATCGGTAAATATCGATAACAAAATCGATAATTATCGATAACAAAATCGATAAATATCGATAAAAAAATCGATAAATATCGCTACCAAAGTCGATAAATATCGATAACAAAATCGATAATTATCGATATCAAAATCGATGAATATCGATAACAAAATCGGTTAATATTGATAACAAAATCGATAACAAAACCGATAAAAATATCGATTATTTTATCGATAGGTCTCGAGAATCCCGAAAATCTCTAAAATCCAAAAATAGTTCCCAGATTGAGTCTCTGTGTCTCTCTCTATATCCTTTCCTCTTTAATTACCTCTATTTTAATCTTTCTTCCGCTATCTTCATCTTTGCTTTTATCGGTATCCTCATCCTCCTCTTTGTCTTTACTTCTATGTTCATAATTTTTTTCAGCTACATATTCCCCTTCACATTTGTTGTTATATATATAAGTAAAGTGTTTAGATTTACCTTGGTCGTCATTTTTACCTTTATCTTTACGCATCTGTGTTTTTGTTGTTATTTTTACCTTTGCCTTTATCCTATTCTTCATTTATGTACGTAGTCACCTTTACTTTCATTCTTGTATTGGTATTTTCCTAAGTGTTATTCTTTAACCTTTTGTTAGCAAATTTTTGTTAAATTTATACCATATGCATACACATAAGAAGCACTTGTTTCAGCCCTAACCATTTACGTTGCACCATTTCCGTTGCACCATTTCCGTTGCATCATTTCTGTTGCATCATTTCCGTTGCATATACACAATAAGTACTTGTTTCAGCCACAATCATTTCCGTTGCACCATTTCCGTTGCATAATTTCCGTCCCAACCATATCCGTGTGCAATTTCCGCTGAATTTGCCAATTTACTCCCAACCAACCAACCGCCGCTAAAGAAGTTTCACTTCAAAAATTATTTTAAATAAAGGATACATAATAGCTTTATTCATAAGGTTCATTACAAAACTTTTACAAATGGAAAAATATATTAAAACATCAATTTAGAAAGCTTTTTAAACCTACTTTATTTTTTACGAATAAGGCCAAAAAACTGTTTCATTCGGCGCATAAAGCCGTAACCTTAGTGTTTGCTAAAGGAATTTTTTGTATGTTTGTATAAGCTACCCGCGGCATCTATTACAGAAGATTATAGAAAAAAAAAATTCAGACCTGCTAATGTAAACTTTTCCGCTGAAAAAAATAAAAAATTGGAATATAAGAAAGCTGAACAACAATTGAGATATAGACAAGTTTCAGTTTGTAGAGATCTGAAAATTGCACTCAATAGCAGTATTTTTTGGATATAGTTATTCAATCTTAAATATGTTTTTTTTTATATAAGTGAAGCTTATCAAATTTTCCATAATCTATGCCCACAATATTTTTCAACCTAATTATTGGTTTAGAAGCTATTCATTGATTTATCGACCTTTTTCCATAATTTTCAACAAAGTTTAAAAAAATAAAAACCTTCGATACAAACATCAAAATGAAAAAGTTTTTACTCCCAGTTTCTTTGTTTAAAGCTTATTAAAAGATTAAGCAATGTCTTACATAATCATAAAGTTGTATTGAAACTTAAATAAAAATACGTTCATGACAACATTTTGGGAGCTATTAGGGATATTTTTGTGAAAATACCACAAGCTGAGCAATTGCACTTTAAATTGGATGTCCCGAGTCAGTAGTAGTAGTAGTATGTTCATGCAAAAATACAAAATACAATGGTGTCAAGATCACAGTTTATAAAATGGGTACTGTTGTACATAAAAAAAGTACATTGCAAGAAAGCAATAAAAATGTTCAATTTATGCAATTGGACATTGTTAATAAATGCTATAGAATTAAAGGGGCGAATGTTTGCGTTTAGAGATAGTTAAAATAATTAAATGAATTTTCCTGATACATATAAATAAATGAGTTTCATATTCTCAGAATTTTTCTATGTCGAGACTTAAATTAAGTTGCCAAATCTGCATTATCCAGCATGGTTTTTATATCAGTGTGTAGAAGTTTCATAGATAGATGATGAGCTAAAATGTATTTAGTTCTTTGAAAATACAATAACAAAACTATTTAGTTATTAGTAGTGTAGTAAATAGCGAGGTACTAGATATCGATGGTCCTGTGCTATAACGACACAACTCAGAACTCAAAGAAAAAACTTAACTTAAACTTAACAGTGACGCATGTCTCTAATCTTTGTCTAACTAATCCTAACTAAATCTATATAAAGCAGTCATAAAGATTTAGTGCGGATTAGACATGGATTAGATACATGCGTCACTGTTTAGTAGAAAGGGTTTTTTCCATGCGTTTTGAGTTGTGTCGTTATTGCAGAGGATCATCGATATGTACTGAAGTGAAAGAAAATATGGAATATGATAGTATTTACTTATTTACTTCTCGTGAGCTAAATTCATCATATAAATGTGTTTACTTTAAATTAAACGCACCAAATATTAAGTACAAAATATTTAGTTACTTCTACTTAGCGAAATACCACGCACAAGTATATAAATTTATTTTATTCATATATTTATAAGCATATAATAGCCGCCTTCGTTTGGCCACTTCTGTACTCGCTATGCTTGAGTTCCGGTCGTTTAACGGCTAATGTACAATGCAATGAATATATCTTCTTATACAAAATCCCATAAAAGGTTATAACCTAATAAATAGGTATAATTATGTGCATTATACCGGGTGTCCTAGACCACCCGTCCACCCCTTTTAAAATGGAGAAAAATATTTTGTACTAAAAACCGAAAAAATATGAACTACCGAGTTGGAGATACTCTATCTTTTGGTCGTGTTTCCACCGGAAAAGGGTTAAACAGTCCATTCCTTTAACCGGAAGTCTATTCCAAAAAGAGCTACGTATTTTTACCCGCAGAATCCGAATCAGAGGTAAAACATGTATATATATCCCATTTAAAAATAAGTACTTTCGGTTTATTTAACCCACTACCGGTCGAAACCGGAAGTCCGTAATAGTACCAAAAGATGGAGTATCCCCGAACTTGGTGATTCATATATTTTTTTTTCAATAAAAACATTTTCGCCCATTTTAGAAGTCAAGGAAGAGTTGAAGTTCGAAAGTCGTTGAGAGGTGGAAAAAGGCACTTCCGTAAAAAAGTTCCAAAAAGTTTCCCCAGAAGCCGAATCTGTAGTAAAACATATGTGTCTAATTAAAAACAAATTTACAAATCAGTTAAACTCACTTCTATTCAAAACCGGAAGTGGGTAATACCAGCAAAATATAGAGCATCCCCGATTTGGTAGGACTTATTTTTTTGAATTTCTCAGTAAAAAATATTTCCCGCATTTTAGAAGGGGTGAGAACACGGGGAATTCCGAAGTCTCGAAAAAATAAAATGAATATCATAAAAAATTTAGAAAAGTCACGAAAATCCCAATGCAGTTCATTATATTATCAATATTTAAAAAATAAAAAACGAAGATTTAGAAACTAAATAAATACCTTAGTACTTTAGTATTTAGCACCTCTCAAATAATTAAATTGGGGGAGCGAACAAAGTAATTCAGGACGCCGTGGGAAACTGGTATAAAGTGATACATTAAATATTTACAAGAGTATTTAAGTAAGTACATATGCCCCTCCCTGGTATTAAGTATGTATTTTTTCTGTATTCGTTAAAAAAAAAAAATTTTAACTGAACAAGAATTAAATTTTATTATTAAACAAATATCGCTTAAGAGTGGCTCTTAAAACGTAACTGTTTGCGCCATGATAAAAACATAGTAAGGTAAAACCGTTCTCTCAATTCATCTCTCATGATTTTTTTTTTTTTGAAGTTTGCCAAAATTTAAAATCATATAAAATTGAGAGTAAAAAAAGGAATTGTTCAAAGTTGTTGTTTGAGATTAAAAATGTGAATGTGTGCGTGATTTTGTGTGTAAAATATTAAAATTAAATTGCTTGCAAACGTCAAGAATTTGAAAAATTCCTCTCAGCGGTTCTACCTTCCTATTTTTTTTTATCATGGTTTGCGATGCATCTAGTCAATGAGACTCGGGTTATTGATGGTAATCAAATTCGTACCTATCAATGTAATCACTGGGTAGACAATTGGGAGAAGATAATTTTACGAAATTATGTAAAACAATGCAAGCCTTAAACATTTTCTTCTGCGTTTTTAGGAGCTATACAAAGAGTGGTACGAAGAATTCTCCATTTTGCAGTCAGGATCCCAAAAGTATTTTCGATAATCCTCCTCGCACGCGAAAGTCTTTTGTTGAAATATTCCTGTTCAGTCTGTATATTTCTACCGCCAACTAAATAATGTGGAAATGGCCCTGACTCCCCTGGTAAAGGACAATCTGGAGGAAATTTGAGGTGTTTGTTTTCGATAGCCTCTGTTAGCTTCGAAAAATGAAATATACCACCGTCGCTTTGACCATAACCACCAATATCGACGCACGTAAATATGTAGTTGGCGTCGCATATTGCTAAAAGAACAATACTATAATTTCCCTTATAATTATAGTACATGGAACCAGAATTCGTGGGGTAAGTTATATTAATATGTTTGCCATGCATGACACCAATACAGTTAGGCATTTTCCGTAAAACTTCAAATTCGTTTGCAATACGAATCCACTCTGCTTCGTTTGGTATGCTCAGGTAGAGATCTGCCAACAAATCCCATATTATATCCAAGAATGATAGAATACAAGATTGCGCCCATGATTCAATAATACAAGGTTGGATAAATATTGACATTTGTGTCAATCGACTGCCTTGTAAGGTTGCATTTGAGAAGGAAAGAGAAAGCGGGTTACCATTTTATCCCCTGTTCTGAAAAGGTAGTGGGAAAAGTAGTGTGGTAGTGTTGAAATGTTTTTTTTTTTTAATTTAATTAAATATATGAAGCGGATTCCACTGATTTACACAATAGACAATGAATTAACTTTTTTATGGTATAATAAACATGCCATATAGATATTAAAATGAAATAAATGAATATTCACATAAAATTCTGACCAAAGAAAAATCGTATTGACAAATCGTCACTAAACACGAATAAAGGCGCGAGCTCATAAGTTGACCGCGAAAAAAGGCGCAGCAAAAAATTTCAGCGAAGAAAGACTCTTAACATAGGTGACGGCGAAGAAAGGCGCATTAAAATATTTGACGGCGAAGAAGGACGCGTAAACTTATTTTCGCAGTCAACTATGTTTGCGGGTGTAATAGTATGTACATTCCGTTAATAGTTTTTGGGGAATAGTGCTGAAGTGGCAGTCCTTCGCCAAGTATAAATCTATGATTACGCGTCTTTCTTCGCCGTCAACTAGGTTACGCGTCTTTCTTCGCCGAAGTTTTACTTAAGCGCCTTTTTTCGTAAAATTTGTGTATGCGTCTTTTTTCGCCGTCGAAACACTAGCGCGCCTTTATTCGAGTCTACTGACGAAATATTCCCAAATATTCAAAATAAACATGGTTGCATTGAAATTCCAGTATATATTAAACAAAATTAATGGAATTCAAACAAATCCTTTATTCAAAGGGACTATATGAAGAAATATACAAATAGTAATGATGTAATTGATATAATGCATATAAACTAATCTATTAAAAAATATATTTGGTGCATTTAAAAATTACATGTTAAATATCTTGAACTGAATTATATTTGGTTTTTTATAAATTTCAATTTGTTAGTAATGTTTTCTACTATTTTTTACAATCAGTCTTGCTAATAATTATATTGGTAACATTTAAAAGTTACATATTCAATATCGTAATTGAATTACATTTGGTTTTTTACAAATGTAAATTTTTTAGTAATGTTTTCTACTATTTTCTCCAATCAGTCTTGCTAATCATTATATTGGTTACATTGAAAAGTTAGATCTTGAGTATCCTAATTTAATTACATTTGATTTTTATACCCGAGCGCACTTGTGCACAAGGGTATTATAACTTTGTTCACATAACGGTTGTTTGTAACAGGCAAAACGAATCGAGATAGATATAGACAAATGTATACATAAATGATCAGAATGAAAAGAGAAATCGATTAAGCGGTGACTGTCTGTCCGTCCGTCCGTCCGTCCGTCCGTCCGTCCGTCCGTCCGTCCGTCCGTCTGTGCACACGATAGCTCGAGTAAAAATTGAGATATCTTAACGAAACTTGGTACGTGGACTTCTTTTGGGCATGGGACGGATGGTATTGAAAATGGGCGAAATCGGACAATAACCACGCCTACCTCCCATATAACGGTAATTTTCAGAAATACGAAAAGTGCGATATTTTAGTAACTACTGAAGATAATTCACTCAAAATTGATATTTACAATGAGTTTTAGACGAAAAATAAGAATATTAAAAAATTTTGGCAAATGGGCGTAGCAACGCCTACTTATGGTTACATGCGTATATCTTGGTAACCGCTGCACCAATTTCTTCCAAACTTGGCACAGTTCTTGATCCTGCTACAACATATTTAATGGCCGAAAATTTTTAAAATCGGACAATAACCACGCCCACATCCCATATAACGGTAATTTAGAAAAATACGAAATCCTCGATAAATCAGTAAATATTAAAGCTAATTTATTCAAAATTGATGGTTGCAACAATTTTTTACCAAGAAATACGCTTATGGTACAATTTTGGAAAATGGGCGTGGCACCGCCCACTTATGATCACATATATGTATCTCGCTAACCGTTCTAGCAATTTGAACCAAACTCGGTATGGTTATTGTGCTTGCCACATAAAAGCAAAGCGTTGAAAATTATTGAAATCGGACTAAAATTACGACCGCTTTATATAACGGTATATTTCAGAAATGCTTGAAACTGCAATATTTCGAAATTTAAGGACGCTAATTTACTTAAAATTTATACACCCCGGCTTATCGTGTAGCGGTAGTTTTCGGAAAGGTGGAAAACATATATTTAATAATTGCGCCGGGTATTTAATGTTCGGCTCCGCCCGAACTTAGACTTTCTTACTTGTTTTCATATGCATTATTTCGGTTTTCAAACGAAAGAGTGCATATGCATAATTTCGGTTTTTCTAATATGCATTATTGCGGTTTTCAACCGAAACTGTGCATATATGCATTATTTCGGTTTTTTTCATATGCATTATTTCGTATGCACAGTTTCCATATGCACAATTTCAGGGTGCCTCTCTGAAAATGTCACAACTCGAAATTTCCTACCGTCTAGAAACGAGAAATGCTAAAAATTCGCGTAAGTGGTAGAGACTATATATTTTATTCACAACTGTCTTAGGAACTATCTGTAATAAATAAAATATCTTATTGAAGACATGGCTAAAAAGTATACACTTGTTATAGCAATATGTTCAATTTTGAGTTAATGCGTTTTGTTTATTGATGCGTTTTAGACTAAAGCTTTTCAAGAACGTGTATACATACTTAAGTGTGCGTTGTTTATTGTTCTTTTGGTTGTCTTGCTTATTTTTGTTTTTCACTTTCAGAGCACGAGTAACGTAACATTTATTGTGCTCTTATTTGCTTTTGTGTACTAATTAGAAAGATAGTATGATTTAAGCTTAGATTCTAAATTAAGGTTCAGACTTTAACAATGAACAGCTTAAAAAGACTGCAAACGACTTTATATTGCAATCATTTTCTGATTGCAATAAAATGATTGCATTCAAGTAATTAAAGAATGCCGATGACTTTTTAGTCATGACTAACAAAAATGAATAAGCACTAACTTTTTTTAGTCCCAGTCATGACTAACAAAAAATTATTGCAATCAGTTGACCCCCAATCAAATGAATGCAAAAGTCAATAAGTATTGCACTACTTAACACCTCTGGTTGAGATCCAGTAGTATGTCATTTAGTACCACCACCCATAGTAGCGGAGACAGAACTCCCCCTTGGGGAGTGTCTCTATTTGCATAACGGGATAGCGTTACTGAACCAATGGTTGAAATTATGAATCTGTTTCTGAGCATATGTTCGACACACTCGCATATGTGGTCAGATATTTCCACCTTCACAAGAGATCGAACAATTGCTTCGACTGTTATGTTATTAAAGGCCCCCTCTATGTCGAGGAATGCCGCCAAAGTGTACTGCTTGTAATGGGGTGGTTTTTCTATGGTGCCCACGACTTCATGGAGGGCAGTTTCAGTTGACCTGCCCTTAATGTATGCATGAAGTAACTGCGTAGTGTGCCAAAAAATACGGAGGGGAATAAGTTCTACACCTTTTCCAACAGTATTTCAGAAAAACACAAATGTATTTCAGAAAAGCGCAAATGTATTTCAGAAAAACACAAATGTATTTCAGAAAAACGCAATTGTATTTCAGAAAAGGCCAAATGTATTTCAGAAAACCTCAAATGTATTTCAGAAAAACGCAAATGTATTTCAGAAAAGGTCAAATGTATTTCAGAAAACCTCAAATGTATTTCAGAAAAACGCAAATGTATTTCAGAAAAGGGCAAATGTATTTCAGAAAAGCACAAATGTATTTCAGAAAAGCATAGCTGTATTCTAAAATTATTTTTCTGAAATACATTTGCGTTTTTCTGAAATACATTTGAGGTTTTCTGAAATACATTTGGCCTTTCCTGAAATACAATTGCGTTTTTCTGAAATACATTTGTGTTTTTCTGAATTACATTTGCGCTTTTCTGAAATACATTTGAGGTTTTCTGAAATTCATTTGCGTTTTTCTGAAATACATTTGAGCTTTTCTGAAATACATTTGAGGTTTTCTGAAATACATTTGGCCTTTTCTGAAATACATTTGTGTTTTTCTGAAATACTGTTGGAAAAGGTGTAGTTTTTATCTTCTTTTATTGTAAAAGAGCATTTGTTTCGCCGAAAGTCAAAACGTAAGTGCTCACATAATTAAGTTATCTTACTTAATTGCCGTAAATTTGCTAAAATATTTAACCCCCGCTCATTTATTTTCGTATATCCTCAGCAATTGATTAAAAATTTCCAAAATGGGTAAGAACAGGAGCTCTACTCCTTCCGAATCATATGGCAGTGTTTCCAAAAATGTAAGACAGTAGCGAAAGTAACACCGGTATTGGGCTTTTCCAGAGGAAAGGTTGTCAATGCTATTCAGCACTACAAAAAAAAATGGAACTTTCGATAATCTACCGCTCAATAAGCCTAGGAAGACAACTGGTTTAGACGATAGAAAATTGGTCAGATTGAGTAAGGCAGAGCCTTTTTTAACCCCCAGGGAAATTAGGGCCCAATTAGAATGCAATTATGGTAGACAAATATCGTACGTCGACGACTGCAGGAAAATTGTTTGAATGGCCGTATCGCCAGACGTAAGCCCAATGTTTCAAAAACAAAATATTTTAAGAAGATTATCCTTTGCGAAACAACATTTTAACAAAGGCTTAGATTATTGAAAACTAATTGCTTGGAGCGATGAGTCAAAATTTAATGTGTTCGGTATTGATGGAAGACCATATGTAAGACGTGTGCCATTGCAAGAATTAAACCCCAAGTACACAGTAAAACATGGTGGCTCGTTAGTAATGGTTTGGGGATGTTTACGTGTCGGTCCGATTGTCCAAATCCAAGGCAAGATGACGGAAATT